CTCTGTTGACGAAGGTGATGATGGTGTCGGCCGCCGTGACGGTCTCGCGGTGGACGTCGTCCATGTTGGGCGCGTTGGCGTGGCCGTGCTCGTCGAGGGTGTTGTATATGTTCTTCATCCAGGTGGGCGCCGAGCCGTGGGCGCGGTGGGCGCGGTGGTGGTGGCGGTGGTGGCCCACCATGGCGGGCGGCGCCGGGAGGTCCAGGAGGTCCAGCATGTCCTGCGCCAGATCCGCGGCTTCCTCGGCGTCCAGCCTGTCAGCCAGGACCGTGCGCCCATTCCCGTCGTCCATCCACACGCCCACGCCCGCTGCACACCCGCCCGCCGCCCACACCACTGCAGCGACGACACACACCCACACCCCCGCCCTTCTGGGCGCACTCGTCGACCCTGGTCCCATGACGAACGATTGCGGAGACAAGAACACGCAGGACTCGAGACTCACTACATCGTCGTAATGCACGGCGCAGCACCGGGACGCCTCCTGCGCTCACTTTCTCGTGGAGGCGCTGCGCTGTTCCCGTTGTGGTCCGTCAGCCGCAGCAGCAGGTCACCCTAGCCCATGCCTGGCGCTCCAGAGCCAAGCAGGACACACGGACAGCAGGCAGCAACAGGAGGCAAGAGCAGGCCGCGGGCAGCTGGAGGAGCAACAGGGACCGTGAGCAGGCGCGGGGCTGCAGTATCCAAGGCAGGCAGGAGAGAGACTGGCGAGCGCCCTCCCTGGGACCTCCGTCTCGCCAAGGATACTATCTCCTCCGTCTCAAGGTGGTCGCGGTGAGACGCAGTCTGGAGGCGAGGGCCGCGGCCGCTCTGTGTGAATGCAGACCTGGGATCACCACCTCGAGTTCTGGCTTAATGGATGCGTGTGGATGCGTGTGCGGGTGTGTGTGCGCGGCCTTGTGAGAGTGTGTGCATGTGTGCGCCCATCTACCTGTGGTGGAGCGACGTGTTCGCACTACCAAGGATTTGTCCCTCAGTACATTCACGCGGCGAGGGAATTAATCAGATAGTCTTCAGAAGAAATATTTTCGAAATTACAGATCCGAGCAAAACGTCTACTTGAACATGAGCGCTTGGAGAACATAATGAGGTGGTGGCACGGCGCTCGGAAGGACAGGCAAGGACGCTCAAATACGGCACCAAACGAAAACGAAGAGAAAGTCAGGCGAGCGAACGGCAGACGCTCGCTTGACCCACCTTCGCCTAGAACAAGTTTGTTTTCTCCCTGCACCGGGACCCTCTCGCCCTGAGCGTGGTCACGTGATCACGGTTACTACGGACACTTTTCGATCTGTGGCGGATGGAATCAGGGCGAGGTCAACTGCAAAGACACAGAAATGCGGCGAGATTGGCTTAAACATACATCATCGTATCCGGGCATCGTCGCGGGCTATCGTGCCCCCAGGTTAACAAGTAGTTGCCAGAAGCACAACAATTACAGCGAACACCGATAACCATCCGCAAGACGTTCTCCTAAGTCGTAGTTAAAGCCGGACACGTAAAAGAAACAAACACCAACCATCAACAAACACAGATAGAAAGATTAAAAGACCCAAAGAGCAAAGGGATTTACGGGAGAAGAAGAAAATCCTGCATTCGGTTCTTGGGGAGATTTCAATGCCTGGATAAATGGCTGTCGTAGGAAGCACGATATCGATTTACGCTATCGTATTTCGGCCTCGTCCCGTTCCTTGCGTTTTTGTACGGCCAATTAAAGTTCACTGGCGTCCCAATAAAGGTCGGTGATTATTGTTATCATGGTCTTCGGACGATGTAACAAATAAGCGCGAGTGATTCATAACCTTTTTTTTCGTCCAATGAACTCGAATTATGACGCTAGAATGAACGAAGTGAAGAAATTATCGTTAGCGTTCGAGTGGCAATCAACAAGGGAATCGGTCTGATGATTAAATTAATTAGAGGATTGTGAGAGTAAGAACGTGTGTGTGATGAGCAGGTGAGGGGGGAGGGGCGGGGGGGCGGGGGAAGAGGGGGGATGCTGGGCGCGGCCAAGGTAAGCTTAACAGGGCAGTTGCCAAGTAGTATATTGCTGCTCTTGTTTTTCGTCCCGTTTATCTAGTGCTCTCGGTGTAAAAAAGAAAAGATCCAGTGTATCAACTTTTAATTAACTACGAGAACAACTGCAATAAGAACATGATTTTCTTTACTAAAATTAAGCCTCAAATAAATGCTGAACCTTATAATTCAAACGAAACCTCATGAGGTCGTTACATCAACATATTCTTAAGATTTACAACCTTTAGAATTCGCCCGACGTTGGCCCTTGCATTATGTCACCCGGAGTGCCACATGCTGCACTCTGGGCACTTGACACTTCCCGCATGCCCGGGTCACGTGCCTTGCTCTGCCACCCTCCCCTCCCCTTCCTCCCCACTCTACAAGTTGTCGAGAGAGAGAGAGAGAGAGAGAGAGAGAGAGAGAGAGAGAGAGAGAGAGAGAGAGAGAGAGAGAGAGAGAGAGAGAGAGAGAGACATATATA